ACAACAGCCCCCGCCGCAACAGCAGCAACAGAAACCGCAACCCAAACAATCTAAACAAACGGTAAAATCAGCGACCACCACCACCGACTCAGCCAAGAAAGCTCAGGCGCTGCTCGAGGAGCAGCTCAATCAGCTGATCTGTCGCCTGGCCGAGCAGAAGTACACCACCGTGACGGCGAACATGTTCGACGAGGAGTTCCTCCGCCTGGTGCCTAATCTGCGCATTCTTCCGCCCAACGCCAACACCGTCGCCCTGCAGACGATCATCCGAAACCGGTAAGACGGTGGGACTTCTTTCAAAGATAATAAAAATGTCAGTATTTAACACATTCTCTGTTATCTCCACCCAAACTGCTGACACAGCAACTCGCCGCGCGAGGATTTTGTCTTCCAGGCGGACCGCCTGATTCGTCTGGTCATCGAGGAGGGCCTCAATCAGCTGCCCTCAAAGCTGCGCACCGTGACGACGCCCACCGGGGGCACCTACCAGGGCGTGGAGTTTCTCAAGTCCAACTGCGGCATCTCCATCGTCCGCTCGGGCGAGGCGATGGAGAAGGCGCTGCGCGACTGCTGTCGCTCCATTCGCATCGGCAAGATACTGATCCAGTCGGACGAGGAGACGCACCAGGTAGGGCTTTTTTGCAATTACAATTACGCTTTCAAATTTACGTTTTTTCACATCACTTGTAGGCGCGCGTCCTCTACGCCAAACTGCCCGCCGACATTTCCCTGCGCAAGGTCCTCCTTCTCTATCCGATCATGAGCACGGGCAACACCGTGGTGAAGGCGATGAAGGAGCTGAAGAAAAATGGCGTCAAAGAGGCGAACATCATTCTCATCAATCTCTTCAGTACGCCCAGTGGTAAGTGGAGGCAGGTGGGGGGATCAAGTGGTTGAAATGTTCTCTTTTTCATGACTAAAATTTTTCAGCCATTCGCGCTCTGGCCAGTCGATTTAAGGAGCTGACCATTCAAACGACAGAAGTGCATCCGGTGGCACCGCTGCATTTTGGCCAAAAGTATTTTGGCACTGATTAATTGAAACCCACAGTTCTGGTAGTGGTGTGCTCTTGACAATTGTTTTTTTCAAAAGTACTTTTTTCAAATGTACGAAGAAAGTTTTTTCAAAAAAGTACTTTGTAACCACTGCTTCAGTCAATAAATTAACTCAATCTAAACACTCATTATGTCTTTTCAAGTGCGTTCAAATAACGGAAAACATAACTGAATCTTTCCGACCAATTCTGGAAATTTGTTAAAAATGGGGTTTGATAAAAACCAGTCGAAAAACTACACATTTGAAGTTTCAAATATCTAAAGTGTTTTTATCAAGATTTAAAATTTGTTCTTATCAGGTTGAAGTAAACTTAGATGGTGTTGCCATGTGATATTGATTTGAAGGATTTGATTGATAAGATTTAATGTAGAAAAAAGTGGTCAAATAAGTGCGGCAACTATTGACTGCTGCAGTGCTGTTCAACAAACTCATATCCTTAAACTCTAATCGTCTAAAACATGTTCT